AAGCAAACGTGCGTAACATAACAGCTTCTACTAAAAGAAATATATATTGAAAAAATTTAATTTCAACATAAACTAAAGTTTAAATCTTCATTGTCATAGAATTGGTTGTCTGTCAATTGTTTTTGATATTTCACATAAATTCTTTTTCCTTGTCAAACTAAAGTCGACTTTTGTGCTAGACAAATATTTTAAAGTTGATGAATGATTGCAATGGATAAGATTCAAGAATTTAATATTCAAAACTGATAGTTGACTAATCCATTATTTTTATGATAGATTTTCAATGTTTCTTTTTTTCTCGTTTGTCATAAAGAAAAGGAATCCTTTTCTCCAACGAAGTCAAATATATCATAGTTATAAATAAAATTATTTTTATGACTAGTTGTGTTTCAAAGAATTTGTTTAATTTCCAAGCTCACTTTTTGGATTTAACAATCCATTTTTATCATTCTAGAATGCACGTCTATAAAAACGCTTCTATTTTTACTGAATTTTTTTCGCACTAATTGAACTTCTCAGCTCTTTCTTTCGTATAAAACGAAACACAAAATCAGTTTGTCAGAACTACAGATTAGTTTTAGTCGTACAAAAAAGTAAATTATTATTTAAGAAAATCATTGACAATCAAAAAGCTATTTTGAATTTTTTTTAGTAAGCATCACACGAATGCGTTCTACTATTGAGCTTGGAATCGTGTTATAGTCTCTCTACTAGAGCCTCAAACTGAACTTGTTTTGATTTGCTGGCTTCTTGTTTTTTATTTTCATAGTTTGTCCGTAATAAGATAAAACCAGTATGTAAACTGCAATTGATCTGTTCATTGTATTTCTAATTGACGCTGAGCTTCTATAATTCGTTCTTTACGATTTAAAGCATTTTACTTACGTGAATCTTTGGCATTAAATACCCATCGATCAACAATCATATGCCATTCAGAATATTTTTTAACGAAATATTGAAATGAATTTATTACCATGTCTAAATCTAATTTTGGATAGTTTTTCCCAATGATTGACATATGAAAATCAAATTTAGATAAAAATGGAACATGCTTTTCAAACATTTGTTGCCATGTATAACCATTGATCAAATCACGAGCATCTGACCAGACTACTTCACCTGTCCCATGAAGAAATTTAAACCGACGAAGATTAGGCATACAACGTAAGATATAAGCGATTGAACCAATGTCACATTTAGCAAAAATTGATAAATCGAATGATATCAATTGTGGTGATATAGGAAGATTGTTTTCATCAAATTTTTTTCGACCTGCAACCCTAAAAAAAAGGAAAGATTATATTTTAAATCTTGTTTTATAAAGAATATTCAAGAGATGTTTGTACTGCAACTTACGGTGGTGTAGTTTGATATAGAATTTCATGTTTTATTACAACATGTAGATATCGTATTCTACGACAACGATCAAGAATTGGCAAAATTGAATAAAATGATACTGTTTTTGGTTTGCCATATATTAATAAATCAAGTGATATAAGATTCGAAGTAATTGGAATATAAGCTGATATGTGGAAGTAACCATAATTATGAAACTTAACAGAATGAAGAGATGATTGATAGAAGAATATAGTTTGAATTAAATCAAAACCACCATTTATATATTCTCGATATGGTTGTAGGATAACAAATGAAACAAGTCTATTCATACTTTTTACTTGTTCAACGATATTTTCAAAGTGAGTTGATAGATGAATCGACATAAATATACATGATTGAAGATTAATAAAATGATGTCGATTAAATAGAAAATTAATAATAGATGAACAATCACGAATTGTATCAGAACATTTTAATGATATGACTTGATGAGCATGAAAAGTAAGATGTGAAGAAAGAAAATTAATTTCTCGATAATAATGACTGTCTAAGATGATAACATGAAGTCGAATTGATTGTAGAATAGATGAAATTCTTTTATTCAATAATGCAAAACCAGTAAAAATATCAAGTGCATGTAAATAATCAAATATTTCGAAAAAAATTTCATTTGATAAATCTTCTAAATGTGTATGTGTATCCATTTGTAAAAATGATTAAAATAATAAATGGTACTAATCATGTAATTCAATGCATTCTGTGTAAAGAATGTATCAAATGACAATAATTCATAGGATAGTATGTTATTATATATACTCCACAAAATAAACAGTCTATGAGCAATATTGACGGTGAAATAAAATGAAAAATAAAGTTGATTGTCGATTTATCTTTCTATGTGAAATAAAAACATATATATAAAAGATATGTTGATGATATGAACTCGTCGAAATATTTTTTCTATTTATTATATAGTCTTGAACAGAAGAAGAGTGATAGAAAAAGAAACAAGTGAATTTTTTGGTATAGTGTAGGATGATTCATAGTTATTATGCTGCATTTATCTATAATATAGTACTTAGGGCATATCAAAAATAGTGACACCGGCACTATAATACTTTATAGAGAGCTCAAGGGAATTTTCTTTCTATATATTCTGATAGCCCAAGCACTGCTCTATATATCTACCCTATTTCATCATTGTTCAGTTGATATCATAATATTGAGAACAGAGCAAAAGTAGTTATGACTCGAAGAAAAAAAAATTTCACAGGATGTCTCAAAGTGTTTACAACATTTTTTATTTCGTACATATCTCGGCTTGAGTAAATGATAAAACTTTGATTTTTTTTCTGAAAAGATGCGCCGTGAAAAGCTCTACAAAAACTGTATAAACAAATCCCTATTGACTTGTTCTGGTGGTTTATTCTCTATGTCAAATGAGCAACCTACATGATAGCCAGTGCTACTTTTCACTCTATTGAGCGCAATAAAAATATTTAGAAGGTTTTTCGTTCTGCGCTAGGGATTTGTTCAGACAGCTTTCGTAGAGCTTTCAACGGCACATCTTCTAAAAAAAGAATCCGAATGTTATCATTTTCTCAGGCCGAGATATATGCAAAACAAAAAAGTGTTCCAGACATTTTTATTGAATCCAATACGATGAAGAAAAAAATCAAGGTTTTATCATTTACTCAAGCTGAGATATGATTTGAGACACCCCCGTGAATTTTTTTTCTTCGAGTCATCACTACTTTTGCTCTGTTCTCAATATTATGATATCAACTAAACAATGATGAAATAGGGTAGATATATAGAGCAGTGCTTGGGCTATCAGGATATATAGAAAGAAAATTCCCTTGACCTCTCTATAAAGTATTATAGTGCCGGCGCCACTACTTTTGGTATCCCTTAAGTATAAAAGAATAAAGAAACTACTATCGGAATTTTTAAAGAAGGCACGTAGAAAAAACCTTATAATTTTCGAACGAAAAGTCATAGCAACCTGTGGTTTTCACCATTCGAAAGAGCGAAGGGGGGGGGGGACATGAACATATGTAAAAGTCGATCTCTTGAATGAGGCACATGTTTGTTATTTTTTTGAAAAACCGCTAAAACAAGCTTCAAATTTCGAAACCTCCAATTTCCTTTTTCTCACAGGAAATCCTTCTCTTTCAAACAAGACAACTTCAACACTTTATCTTGTTGAGTTTACATGATACAGAGGCACTGTCTACTGAATATCTGATGTTTGAATCAATTATATTTCGAGCTTAAAATATCAAGAATGAGTTTATGCACTGCAATTTTCAGCCAAATTCGGAAACGCAGGTACAGCTACTTTTATGAATTGACCCATCGATTTTCACATAGGTTCACACGCCTCGCTTCGCTCTTTCGAATGGTGAAAATCGCAGGTCGCTATGACTTTACGTTCGAAAGTTATAAGCTTTTTTTTCACGTGCCTTCTTTAAAAATTCCGATAGTAGCTCATCGCTACTTTCCTGCTACGTCTTACTCCTGTTCACTTGGTTATTTGCTATTTTCTCATTGTTCACGACTAAATAAAGAAATGAAATTTCTCACTTCTATTACACTTGCCTTAAAAGAACATATAGGTGTTGGCATTGGAATGATACATTTTTTTCGTACGTATTTTAGGAGATTCCACTTGAGGAAAGATATTTGAAGTATTTGGAAAAATATCTGATAGCCTTAGGGGATTCTTTAAATGGTACACTGCTAATAGAACAAATGAACCTGAACGAATTTAGAAGAGCCTGGATCCAGGGAGAGTATCCTATCCAATGCTTAAGATTTTCTAAAAGATATGTCGAACAGACCTCAGTTTTCGAAAAAGCGTTAGAATGGAGTGCACAAAACTCAGTCCTACACCCGTTATCAGAGTATTTGAAGTATCTGTATCTGAATTACTGACGTTAAAAGAATTTCCTGAAACATTCTGATGGCTTGAAGATAACATCAATCATTGTTTTTCTTTGTATTTATCTCTCAATACTTTTTTAAAACTGACCTCTTTATTATATTTTATGTCATCCTGTTTTACTTGTTGTGTACTCAAAAAGTGAGTACACTCTAGAATCGGTCAGTGTGTCCGGCCGTCCGGCCGGCCATCCGGCCGTTAACACGATAACTTTCGAAAGGAGAGTCCGATCGCGATGAAATTTTCTACACAGTTCAGTCTTAACAATATCTCGGTCGAGTTCGAAGATGAGAAGGATTGGCCGAGCCCTTTCTGAGTTATTGCAAAAATACTCATTTTTCCCTGCACCTTCCCTATGGAAAGATCGACCCATCCCCACTTTCGTAAAAGACTTTTCCTATCATAGTCAACTAAAACCCCAACTATTATATACCATTCGATAGAGAATTTTACGAGCTACAAAATGGTATATAAAACATAAGGAAACAAGAAAGCCAACTCAGCTATTGCAAAGATAATTAATCGGAATTCGGTTCTGTTTTTGTCACGCTCTAATTGATCCACAAATAGAGCTCTATCTTTCGATCACAGAGATGATAGTTCGAGGTTTTCTGGGGTGGAGAACTCGAATCTGTGCTCTATTCGCCTCGAAATCCCATTGGTTGAACAGTAACCAATAGAAATCAAGTTATAGGAAAAACGACTTTCTTAGGGTAAACCAAGGTGAAGAGTTCAAATCTGAGCTGTATTCATCCCCAAATCCTATTGGTTGAGCAGTAGCCAATAGAAATCAAGTGTTTATAGATAAGGTTTGCCAGAATAATTTTTATATCCCCATATTCTAGAACGACTCATCTGTCTCATTCACTTTTTGAAGTACACATAACTCTCGGATTTAAATCCGAAGTTTCCGCATTTATTTTTTTTTATTTCTCACTTTCTTTTGTGGTTAAAACTTGTCTTGTTAATCTTAATCGGGCAGAATCTTGCAATTGTATTTTTTTTCTTTACTCGTCCTTCTTTCTTGTTGTATGGTTTTGTTTTCTTTCTCTCTCTTTACATGTTGTTATTCACTTTTATATATGGATATCCTTTTGTTTCTTGTTCAATAGAGATTGGGTACTGATAGAACCTTCAAGAGGTTGCCAGTTTCGTTTTGCAAATAAAAAAAAGAAACTAGCTCGTTAGTTGCACATTTGAATTATTTGAAGATGATAAATAGGTACAGCTTAACTTTCATGATTTGACCGCTGGAATTGGAATGGCAAAATTTGAGAACAGTTAAATAAAATGTTTTTCTAAATTTAAATATTCCAATATATTTCATTTGTGATTTTGTGATCTATATTAACTTACGTACTTAAGCTAATGGAAGAAAAAAAAGCAGTTCAACCATATAGCTTCGTGAAATAAAGGAAAATAGTTTTTTTCAAATAATACTGTATCTGCTTTTCTAATGGTGCTTTTTACGAAAAAAAAGTTATTATTTCTCAACGAATAATTTAAAATAAACTTTGTAGAACGATGTCACATTAATCTAGCAACAAGAATAAAAAGATTCCTATGGCTCATTTAACTTTGACTGTCTGCAACATTTTGTCAAATTATGTTTCAATCATTCGCTACTATGATGGTTTCGATATAGATAATAGATTTTCTTTCTTTCCATATTTTATGTGTTACAATTTTAGTAATTGATGACAGGGGTGCAGAATCTATTTGTAGGCTGCAGTCGCACTGCTGGAAACTAGACCGTATTCGAGTTCCACTCAACTACGAAATGTATGGTGGGAAGCACGAATATCGATGATCGAGAAATCGATAGCTTGTTAAAAACGAATAATCATTACTATAATTGACAACGAAGTCTGTTTCGTATAACAATATTTTCATTCCAGTAGGGTCAATATAGATTTTTGTCGACATTATCGAAATAGTAAAGTTTGAATCAATCAGCAGATCAAAATGAAAAAGAGATAGAAAAGTAGGTATGACAAATTTCATTAGCAGAAGAACTCTATCAATGCATATAAATACATTTCTAAAGAATGCTGATCATTGACCAATTAGTTATCTATATGATTCTCTATATATTAGGAGCTGATCACACAACTCAAATATAGGATATCAGCTGTTATAAGAGATTGGCGTCTAATTTTTTTCTATCTTTTGGTTTCAATTATCTCAAATCTCGAAAAAACCAAATTTCACAAAAATTTGCAATTTTGTCGCTCTCTCACTGAAGAATGGAGCTTCCTATTGAAGATCGGAAATTAAATGGTCTGGATTTGATCTCGATATTTTTATCTCTGATTTCAACGACTATTTTTTCACTTGGCATTATTGAGATCATCGGTCACTAGATCACAATTTTGGATGCGTACGTCTAGATAGATTTAAAGAAAATTCGAGACGAACTACAAGACAAGTGCTTCGCAGCTTAATAATAAATAGAGAGTATTTGAGTTGGATTCGGCTACGAATGCAATGCGAAACATGAATGTCGATGTTAGCATTCGTGCTCGCGATGAGCATCGAACACTGTGTTTGAAAATGTATCCATTTTCTTCTCTCTTTTATATGAAAAACAAGTGCATATATACGAACATAAAAATAGGAAAAGTAGAAAGACGCGCAAAGGTTAATCGAGGACAAAGAATAGAAATAATCGTAGTGAATAGATTATATCGAAGATATTAGAACAACAAAGCAAATAATCCAGGGACAGAACCCAAGTGAGCAAAAAAAGACAAAAGACGG